TATTATAAAGTGAAACAAAATAGGAACTTTGCTACCTTAAATTACTGTTTGAATTCTGGCTTCACAGTATTTTTTTTTTTTTTTTTTTTTTCTGGTCTATGTCTTAAAAAGCTGTGGACATTCCAACAGATGGGGGAGGAGCAAAAAAAATTCCAAGAATTTAGCTGTAATCAAGTCTCCGGAGGTAGTTGTGTACCTTGGAATCTTACTGTCTTAAATCCAGATTTACCAAGCTTTAAATTACCTCCATCCTTAGCTGACAGGATTGGGGGTGGGAGATGATGTGAGACAGGATCAAAGGAATTGTTTTAATGACCTTGCAGTTCCTTTTCTGTGATCCCACAGCAGGGTGTTGCCCAGGTGAAATGCTTAGAAATCATTGCTTTTGAGCAGTGGTGGTCCATGTAGACTTTGACCCTTCCAAACTAGAATATTTGATATTTTGATTTTCAAAAAATACTGTATTAGTTATTTTATATTTATTTGAATATTTCTGAGTAAAAACAGGAATGAGAAATGGCTGCCCCAGATTAGTACTTAGTTTATTTTTTTTTTGCATGCGAAATAATGACATTTGCTTTAGAAATTTACTAGCAGTTTTTATATTTTGTTTTGGTTTATAAGAACTGAGTCCCTTAAAGAAGTGTGTGTGTTGGCTGGGCGCGGTGGCTCAAGCCTGTAATCCCAGCACTTTGGGAGGCCGAGACGGGCGGATCACAAGGTCAGGAGATCGAGACCATCCTGGCTAACACGGTGAAACCCCTCGTCTCTACTAAAAAATACAAAAAACTAGCCGGGCGTGGTGGGGCGCCTGTAGTTCCAGCTACTCGGGAGGCTGAGGCAGGAGAATGGCGTGAACCCAGGAGGCGGAGCTTGCAATGAGCCGAGATCGTGCCACTGCACTCCAGCCTGGGCGACTGACTGACTGAGACTCCGTCTCAAAAAAAAGAAGGAAAAAAAAAAAAAAAAAAAAGAAGTGTGTGTGTATTCTGTAAACAGATGGAGATGAAGAAAAAAAATCATCATTATTGTAGATTAGAAGCCTTTAAGTGCATCAGCTGAGTAATTTTTAAATGGACAGAGAAACACTATTTTCATGTGAGCTGTTCGACGATCTTTGTAACCAACCTCTTTGCTGTGGAATTGTCTTAAAGATGAACTGCCTTTTGGTATGTTTGAAAAGCACAGGAAACATCTGCTACAGGTTGACTGTGAAAATATTTTGCTCAGGGAAAGAGGAGATAGGATAGGGAGAATGGAAGGCAGAGCAGAGCTCCCTGTCTCCTGCCTTGACCCTCACAGCATTGATCTTCGGGACTTACAACCCTTCCGGCGCCGTGTGCCACGAGGTGGAAACGCCCAGTGAATCTGCAGCTGCCAAGCACTTCTGAAGGGTGGGCCTTTCCTTCTGTACTGATTCCTTCCCATGAGCTGTATTTGGCCAGGTCTGGCCAGATATATAAGCAGTAGCGATTTGAAACAGTTACTTTGAAACAGTTACAGGATAGAACAAGCATTAATGTTGGCAGCAATTAAAAAAGTGAAATCTATGCTTAGGCAAACACGTGCTCATCTTGTCCGTTCATTCCTGTGGTTCCTCTGATGGGACATAAACACCAAAACTTGGATGCGGTAACTCTTATGGTCTTAATCTTGGTAATAATAAAGTAGTGAGTTTTGTAGATCTTAGTATAACAATCGCTACCATTTAGTGCATTCTTCTATGTGGGAATCTCTGTTTTTCAGAACAACCAGACAAGATAGTTGTTATGATTCTAATTTTACAGATGAGTTACTAAGGCTCAAAGAAAAATTAGTTTCTCAAAGCCCCATGGCTAGGCAGGTGCTGAGCTTGGTAGTCAGACCTTAGAATTTCTTTATTTGGGCACACTGTCTCTTTTAGAACACAGCATGGTCAGAATTACATGCAGGATTTTTAGTAGTGAAAATATTACAGTGTGTACAGATTCCCTTCTATTCCTTTCCTCACTGTTGGGATGATCCATTGGCCTACATGGCTTGTCTGTCTGTTGCTTTTCTCTTTCTTTTTTCTCACGTCGAAGTTTAAGAGGGAGAGAAGGAACAGATACATGTGAAATGTGTGTTCCCTCATGGGTCTTTGTGTGTCAGAGTGTGGGAAGGAGGGAGGAAGGAAGGCAGTCAAGTCCAGAAAACTTCCTCATATGCCAGTGACTGGAGTAGTTAAGGCCATTTTCTCAAGTCAAAGCCAATTGTGGTTAAAACCTCCTTGAAATATAATGCTTCCATATACACTTTGAAAATTTTTGGCTGAGGAGACCGTCAGTTTTCCTTATTCAAAGTTCAGTTAATGAATTTCCCAGTTATATAGCAGTAATGCATTTTTAAATTTTATTTTATTTTTTATTTTTTATTTTTTATTTTTTTTGCGACAGAGTCTTGCTCTGTTGCCCAGGCTTGAGTGCAGTGGCGTGATCTCAGCTTACTGCAAGCTGCGCCTCCCAGGTTCACGCCATTCTCCTGCCTCAGCCTCCCAAGTAGCTGGGACTACAGGCGCCACCACCATGCCTGGCTCATTTTTTTTGTATTTTTAGTCAAGATGGTGTTTCACCATGTTAGCCAGGATGGTCTTGATCTCCTGACCTTGTGATCTGCCTGCCTCAGCCTCCCAAAGTGCTGGGATTACAGGCATGAGCCACCACGCCTGGCCCCAGTAATGCATTCTTTAACAGTGCAGAGTGGAGATTAGCAGTGTAGGAATCTGTGGTGACAACTTAAGCGAGAATTTTTAAAGTCGTATTTTATGAACTCTATGAATGTCTTCACACTTTCTCTCTTTTTGCACTTCTGTCTTTTTTGGATGCCCCACTCTATCCGCTCTAAGCATGTCTTCCCAAGATGCCTTCTATGCTAAGATCTTGAAATGCTGGAGCAAACACAGAAATGACCTGTAACCAACTGAAAATAATTAAGGGTAGCATGGACCTGTGGAATCATGTCAGACAGACTGGAGAAGAGAGGAGGAGGCAGCTTGGGGGAAGTGTGCAATGGGACTGAAATGGCTTTCAAAACTGTGCCAAGAATAAACTAGATGCAGAGGTGCTTAAACAGGATGGTGTAATATTAATGGAGGACACACAGAGAAACCTAGCTGGATAAGCACTTTTTACTTGCCATCTTCATCAGAGAATGGCCTTCAAAACTAGAAAGTATAGAATAGTCATTACTGAGAGTGCTTTAGAGCCTGAACTAAGGACCACAGGCAAAAGCACTCAGAGTTCCTCCAGATGCATAAATCTGCATCCCAAGTGGGATTTTTACCCATGATCTCAGGGTCAGTCATGTCATAAACTTGTGAGAAATTACCAGAAAAATGGAGATGAAGAAATGTCCTAATTAAGAGGACACATTAGTTTTTAGAAGCTGAAGCTATAAAGTTTGATGTCAGTTCCTAGCCAAACTGTAAGATAAATAACCGACTGGAGATCTTATATGTGCTTAGGAAAGAATGTGGTGGTCACCAGGAATCAACAGGGATACCACTAATAGGCCTTGTCCAGACTCATTTCCTTTAAGTACTACTTTTCTTTTTTTTTCTTTTTTCTTTTTTTTTTTTTGAGGAGGAAGACTAGATTATTGGATGCATAGAGTGATAACATCTCACATTTAGAGATGCTCTCTCATTTAGTTCAAATAATGCTCACAAATGAACATTCTTGGCAAGTCTTGATTTCACCAAAGTGTTTGAGATAATCTCTCATAACCTTGTATAAACTAGTTAGATCTTTGTGATCAATTCAAACATTATAAGGATCAGAATAGGTGGTTCTGGGTGGCATATTTTAAGGACATTAAAAAACTGATGTAGATTCCAGAGCATGTGGATCAGAGTAGTGAGCAATACCTAGATGTCATGTCCTGCAGACATCATGGAAGGAATTGGGAACATGTCATCAGCAGAAGACTGGAGAAAAACATGGCAGTTGCCCACCAATGGAAAGAAATGACTTTGGTATTAGAGCTCAAAAGCTCAAATTATATCTACTTATTTGCATTCTCTTTTTTTTTTCTTTTTTTTGGGGGGGGTTGGGGGGCAGAGTGTTGCTCTGTTGCCAGGCTGGAGTGCAGTGGTGTGATCTTGGCTCACTGCAACCTCTGCCTCCCAGGTTCAAGCAATTCTCCTGCCTCAGCCCCCTGAGTAGCTGGGATTACAGGCACCCCACCATGCCCAGCTAATTTTTGTGTTTTTAGTAGAGATGGGGTTTTACCTTGTTGGCCAGGATGGTCTCAATCTCTTGACCTCGTGATCCATGGCCTGTGTCTCCCAAAGTGTTAGGATTACAGGCGTGAGCTACTATGCCTGACCCTTATTTGCATTCTTTAAGGCCCAGTTCCAAAGTTACCTTCTCTCTAAAGCCTCTTTCTCTTTGCAAAATGTTTGCTTTCACATTTGTCTTTGAACCCTTATCACCATACACAGTAACTAGATTATGTATACAGTAGCTGCTTAATAAATGTTGGATGAAAGAATGGAGCAGAGCAGTGACTGTCCTGAGTTCTCAGATAAAAAGGCATCCAACGGCAGAAATGAGAGCCGTCTGTTGTATTCCCTCCACCGTGCTATTTGTTCATTCCTGCTCTGAGTTACTAACTTTAAAGAAAAATTGTTCTAAATTATATCAGAGAAAAATATTTTATAGCTGATTAAACTTAGAAATGCATTTTTTTCCCTGTAATTTGCATTTGAAATCATACCTATTGTTTGCACTTAAGCAAAAAAAGCTAGTGTTTGGAAATTTTTAGAATGGTTACTAGCCTGTCGTCTCTTGAGGATTTTAGTCAAGAATGAAGAAAGTAATCATTTTCAAAGTTGGAAGCCTTAAAAAAAGAAATAAACTAAGTGAAAATGATACCATCGGAGCTTTAAAAAGTTGCCTTTGTTCCAGTGGCGGTAGATCTTGAGATGCAGTAGACTGAACATCATGGAGTAATATCCCCCTCCGTTATCGTGTTCGATTTAGGCTGATTCAACAGTCATTGAGAAGTGGATGGATGGCGTGAAAGACTTCTTAATGAAACAGCAGGCTGCCCGAGGAAATGACGCAGATCTACAGAGGCAGTTAGACCAGTGCTCTGTGAGTTTTGCTGATCTGGGGAATTTGTCATAAATAATGTTTTGTTCTTTTTCTATGTTTTTTCGCTGCTATTATTAAAATTGTGAGAATATAACATAGCATTAAATCTAGATAAAATATCTTTCATCATAAAGCTTTTATGACTTTATAGCTAATAAAAGAATGAAAGATTCTTCATGTTTTTACTTCTGGCCATGGTTATAGAATTTTGAGAGGTTATAGAATAGAGAACAAGAACAATTTTAGTTCATTAGAAGTCATTGTATATTGCATTTCTTGTGCCACATGGTGAGGATTTAAAAAAAATATGTAACAAATTTGAGAAGTGTCTGTTCATCAAATTCATTTGTTAAGTATGTTTTTCTTAAATCCTCACCATGTGGCACAAGAAAAGCAATATACAATGACTCCACGTTGTGCACATGTACCCTAGAACTTAAAGTATAGAGAAAAAACAACCCCCCCCCCCAAAAAAAAATGAATTTGCTAGTAATAGTGCATGCAGTTTATATTTGGTTAAATCATTAGGCTTCTCTACATTAATTAAAAGACTGTTTCCTGCTGAGATTCAAGTATTTCTGATCTAATTTGTCAGATGGCTATATCAAGCACCCAGGTGAAATGAGTTTCTTATGGCACAATATTTCTTAAGTAGTTAGAAGTAATGACTCTTAAGCAGTCTGCTTCTATAATATTTGCAGGGAGATAAGCAGACAAACTATAATTATGGCATCCACTTATATAGTAATGAACTCAACATGCATCTTTCATGTGTTTAGGCATTTGTTAATGAAATAGAAACAATTGAATCATCTCTGAAAAACATGAAGGAAATAGAGACTAATCTTCGAAGTGGTCCCGTTGCTGGAATAGAAACTTGGGTGCAGACAAGACTAAGTGACTACCAAACCCAACTGGAGAAACTTAGCAAGGAGGTGAGTTTTTCAACGTTGCTATCTGTGGTTTTCAAGAAATGTAGACTGTAGCTTCTCTTAACTGACTAAATGTATTATGACCCATCCGGTTTGAAAAACAATGGTCTAAAATAACTCCAGCATGGGTAGCGAGCTGGGGCAAGAAAAGGGCATCATTTTTTGAATTAAGAGAGGGTGCTGATTGTGCAGTTTGGCTCAGGGCTTACCCATTCTTGTCTTAAACCTGTCTTGAAACACATTTATGACACTTGCTTTACCCCTGAAACATTTGAGTGTGACCATTTATTTACTTAGCAAATATTTCTTAATCGGTTGCCAACTGTCAAGCATCATTCTAGGCACTGCAGGTGCAGTATTGAACAAGGAAGAAGAAACTCCTCTTAAGGAGCTTACATTCTAGTGAGGCAGATGGATAACAAATAATATCATGGAGGAGTAGCAAGGAGTTAGGGCTAGGTGGGTTATTTCAAATAGGAGGGTCAGGGAAGGACTTTCTGAGATGGGGACGTTTGAATAAAGAACTGAGTAAAGTAAGAGATTAACCTTGTAAGCTTCAGATAAGAACATTCAGGCATGGAGAATAGCAAGTTTTAAAACTCTGTGGTGGGAATGAACTTTGTCTGTTTAACAGAGAATGAAGGCAGTGTAGAGAGGAGTTAGTGAGTTGGAGAATGGGAATATTTGAGGTTAGAGGTAGGCAGAGGATGGATTAGCTCTGACCTTGGAGGAAAGGACGGGATTTATTTCAAGTAAGATATTACACAGAAAGGAATTTGAAGGGTTTGAACAGGGAAGTGACATGTGATATAGATCTTTCAAGGTCACTCTGGCTTTTTGTTTTGTTTCCTTTTTTTAGCAACACTATCTTGCTCTGTCACCCAGGCTGGAGTGCAGTGGCAGGATCCTTGCTTACTGCAGGCTTGAACTCCTGGGCTCAAGCAATCCTCCTGCCTCCTGGGTAGCTGGGACTATAGGTGTTCACCACCATGCCTAGATAATTTTATAAATACTTTTGAGCCAAATGCAGTGGTGCATGCTTGTAATCCCAGTACTTTGGGAGGCTGCGGTGGGTGGATTGCCTGAGCTCAGGAGTTTGAGACCAGCCTGGGCAACATGACAAAACCTTATCTCTATAAAAATTACAAAAATTAGCCGGGCATGGTGGTATGTGCCTATAGTCCCAGCTACTTAGGAGGCTAAGGTGGGAGGGTGGCTTGAGTCCAGGGGATGGAGGTTGCAGTGAGCTGAGATCGCACCACTGCACTCCAGCCTGGGCGAAAGAGCCAGACCCTGTCTAAAAAAAAAAAAAAAAAATTGTACAGATGGGGTTCTGCCTCAATGCTTTGGGAGGCTGAGGCAAGAGGATGGCTTGAAGTCAGCAGTTTGAGACCAGATGCCAGTCTGGTCAGATGCTGCTGACTTCAAGCCATCCTCCTGCCTCAGCCTCCCAAAGCATGGAGATCACAGGCATGGGCCACTGCCCTCGGCCTCTCTCTGGTTTTCATGTGAGTAGTTTGCTCGGGGAAGACAAGAATGAAAATAGAAAGAATCCTTATAAGGTTACTGCAATCTTGGAGAGAGAGGATGACCCCATGTACTAGAGAGGCTAGAGAAGTAGTGATGGAGGGCATGAGAAATACTAGGTTTGAAAATAAAGAAGAGACCTAAGGAAAGAATTGGATGTGTGATAGGAGAAAAAGTGAACGGTCAAGCATGACTCAGAATTTTTGCAAAGCTTCCACTTTGTGTGAATTGTGGTGTCATTTACTGCAATAATGAAGGAGAAGCTTTTGTGGGTGTAGGTGAAATGATGACTACCATTCTGGAAGGGTTAAATTTGATGCTAGAAGCTAAGGAGGAAAAATCAGTAACAGGGAATATGGGGTCCCAGATGCTAGGTGGAGAAAACTTCACAGTGCCTAATGCTGAGGATTGCAGGGGCCAATCAAAACAGAAAATCAAGCTTTAAATTTGATAAGAAGGAGGCATTTAATAACCTTGAGTAAGTAGGGTCAGTGATCTGGTGGGAAAAATAATCATAGTGGAGAGTGTCAAGGAGGGTATGGGAACTGAGGAACTGGGACACCAAGCATAACCAACTTTGAGAAATTTCTCTTCAGGGGAGCAGATAAATGGGTGGGTGCTGGTGATGGGAATCCAAAGAGGTGGTTTTGTTATTTTTTATAATGAGAGATATTAAATGAGAGGTATTAATGAGAGGACCTCTCATTTAGAAAAAAATGATGGTGCAGAAAGAGATTGAGATAGGAGAATTTCTCAAGTGAAGTCTGTGATTATGTGAGGGTGAGATCCACCATCTAAGTGAAGATGTTGCTAGAGATATGGTTTCTCCATGGTAATGGAAGGGAGGAAATGATATGGAACAGTAGAACTGGGAGGTATTCTGTCTCGATTGCTTCGATTTTTATTAGTGGAATAATAGTGAGGCTATATATAGCTGAAGTGAGTGACAAAGCAGTGAAAAATAGAAGTAAATGTGAAATATAGGCATACCCCACAGTCATGTGGATAGTACATATTTCTTAATAAAATGCTTTTGGCTAATATTTGTATCAGAAAAATTTATATTTGCATAACTGAATATTTTGCTTTGTTTTTGTTGTTTTACCCAACTAACTTATTTTGAACACGTTCAAATGTAAGGAAAAGTTAAAAGAATGATAAAAGGAGCAGCTGTATATCCATCCATTCAGAGACTCGCTAATGTTTTATCACCTTTGCTTTCTCTCTGCCCTTCTCTTTACACACACACACACACACACACACACCCTTTTTTTGGGTACTTTTGAACAGGAAATTGAAAACATCATGACACTTCACCCCTAAATACTCTAGCATGATTCTCCAAGCATGAAGGTATTCTTCTGCAAAATCACAATACCATGATCACACTTAAGAAACTAATAATGTCGTACTCTCATCTCTTATCCTAGCTAAATTCAATTTTTTCTCAATATGCCGTAATCTGATGGCATGTGCCTTAAGGAACTGGGGTTTTTGAGGAAATAAATAGAGAATGGTTTGGAAGTGGCAGTGAGGATCAAGGAAGGTGATAATTAGAAGTTTGTATCTTTGTCGATCTATCCATCCATCCATCCATCCATCCATCCACCCACCCATCCATCCACCCACATAAATATGACAACAAAGAATTCATTGTGAATTGCTGATTCAAAATACAGGAATAAATATATGGGAAATTTAAAGTGTCCTTAGGAAGGAGGTGTGAAAATTATCTAGAGCATTTCCAGACTATTGCATTGCATTGACTAGTACAAATGTTGAAGTAGTTTTGGACAAACACAATTTTGTCAAATTTTCATTTTGCGAAAAGAACAGGCATATAAAACAAATCAACAACAAAGATAGTTTATTTTGTCTATTATATTCATGATATCCTGTAAAACAGGAACATTTAAATGCCAAAAAATAGAAAGTATATATTCTCAGGATAATTAAAGATAATTTTGAGGATGTTTTGTTGTTGTTGTGGTAGTGTCTTTATTTTCTTCATTTGTGTTTGGATCTGTGAAAATTATATTGCTGACTAGTGTTCAAAAAGTACACATACAGAGAATTTTCTGGAAGTGGGGCCCAAGAATCTTTCTCTCTCTCTCTTTCTCTTTCTGTGTGTGTGCATGTATTTTAATGAAAAGCTTACCAGGTTAACCTGATGATCAGCCAGGCTTGGGAATGAGATTGTGAGTGTTGCTGGCACCAGTTCCTTGGTTACCCTGTGGGGACGGTGGAAGAAAAGCTCTTGTTTGGTCCTGTCTATTTTTATGCCAGAGATCCTATTTGGGGAGAGGGACTGGAGCCTCTATCTCTTGCTTAACTTTAACTTCCGTGAGAACCATCCAGTTCCTGTGCTGGCCTTTGGTTACTATCAACCTAGCAGCCAAGCAGGCCCTGGCAGTGTGGCCAGTACTGCAGCATTTAATTTGAGCATAAGGCTGAACTTGTCACGTAGGGGTTGGACTGTGACTGCAGAACGATGCCTTCTCTCACAGTAAAAGTGAGTTTGTTGTTATGGGGAAGAGTGCTCTGAAAATATTTCTTGACTTCTCTGAAATTTTTAACGAAGTTACTGAATCAGAATCAGACAACTATTTATTTTTTACTGTAACTTTTTTGTGTCTGTGTGGCATATACAAATATAGTAGATATCAAAACCAAAATTTTATAGAGCAGTATTTTGTGACATCTTTAATAGCAGCCTATTCCTCGCTGCTTTTTAAAAGTGAAATCTTAATGGGAAGTGCAGTTAAAAAGAAGAAAATGGACATTTTGGTTGCTTCTAGGCTTTTTTTTTTTTGAGACGGAGTTTTGCTCTGTTCCCCGGGTTGGAGTACAGTGGTGTGATCTCGGCTCACTGCAACCTCTGCCTCCCAGGTTCAAGCAATTCTCCTGCCTCCACCTCCTGGGACTACAGGCATGTGCCACCATGCCTGGTTAATTTTTGTATTTTCAGTAGAGATGGGGTTTTGCCATGTTGGCCATGCTGATCTCAAACTCCTAACCTCAGGTGATCCCTCTGCCTTGGCCTCCCAAAGTGCTGCAATGACAGGCGTGAGCCACCAAACCTGACTGACTTCTAGGTTTTTTGTTTTTCCTTTTTTTTTTTCATTATAAACAGTGCTACATTAAATTTACTTCATATATGTGCTTTTACTGTTATAGATTACTACATCTGGGACTACAGTCAACAGTTACGCGTTTTCAAAATTATAATAGATATTTCGAGATAAGAGTATTATCCAAATGTGGTGTAGAATTCCAGTCGTAAGATTATTTTCATTATTGCTTATATTCCACAGCATTAGCATGAAGTGTATGACATTTTATTTGAATTTTAAAGCATGGAATTTGTTGTGGAAAGTTATCACGTGCCTTTAAATATTAAGAGCTAAAACTTGACATTGAACACATTAACATTTGTTTATTTGGGGGAATGGTTTTTCCTTTGTAGATCGCTACTCAAAAAAGTAGGTTGTCTGAAAGTCAAGAAAAAGCTGCGAACCTAAAGAAAGACTTGGCAGAGATGCAGGAATGGATGACCCAGGCTGAGGAAGAATACCTGGAGCGGGATTTTGAGTACAAGTCACCAGAAGAGCTTGAGAGTGCTGTGGAAGAGATGAAGGTGAGGCGGGGACAACCAGTGCCAACAGGCTTCATGCCTCCCTCCTCCCTTTAAAACCAGCCCATCAATTGTCTCTCCAACTGTCAAGCACTGTGTGCACATAGCATCTTTCACAGTAGGGTTTTGAATTAAAAAAGTGTAACAGGGTAGCTGCTCTAATTTTAGCAGGGGAAGGAAGCCAGGAGTCCGAATGTATGGCTTGGCCCATGAGTTGAGTCCATGAGGGCCTGTGAGACAGGCTCTTAAGTTACACCTCTGGGAGGCTACAGAGAATGATTTAAAACCCTGTGGTAGTGGGCGTGAGGAAGAATGATCATTTTTTTAAATTGGGGTAAATACATGTAACATTGGCCATTTTAATTTTTAAGTGCACAATCCAGTGGCATTAATTGCATTCATCACTATTTCCAAAAATTTTCATGAAGAATTATTCTTTGCAAGGGGAACAAAAGAGACTTCCCAAGTTGTCTGAGGTTTGTTATTATTTTCCTTGTACTGATCTTCCAGGTAATACTTACGGCACATATGAACACCGACGTTTCATTAGAGCAGGTAGGAGTAGCGGTAGGAATGCATCAAGGAAGTTCTTATTAGTTGGATTCACTGGATATATTTCCTGTAAATGTGTACTCCTATGTTGATAGTCTTGAATATTCTCTTTTTATATATAATAAAAGAACTGGACATCATTCCCAAATTTCTAACACAGCTTCAACTGTCCTTGAGTGTTCAAGCCAAAGGAGATTGTGTTTTCAAAGCTTTTTTCCCCTATAAGCTTAAGCAACACAGTGACTGTTTTACCTCCAAGTTAACTTGCCTAGAAGTGTAACTAAAGCAAAAATCTCTGTGCAGAGTTTTTTTCAAAAAAGGGATTATGTGACATTCATACATTATTATACATGAATCAAAGTGAATACGACAGGAGACTTGTTGTAAGTGCAGCTCTTTTTGAAAGATTTAAAAATACTCAGTACATAGGTATTTTAAAATAGGCTACCATGTTAAGAATTGTCTCATTTATTATCTTTCTTTACACTATTGGCATTGTAGTTCTTTGGATTTTAAAAATTGTTATAGATGAGATTTGAGAAAAATGATATTTAAATATTTGATTGGGCAACATTTTATTTATTTTTATTCTTTCAAACAGCCATTAAGACTTACAAAACCACTACACCTAATTACTTTCCCCCAAAGTAAGGAAGTTCAAAACCATTAAATAGTAGAGAAAAGTAAAGGGGAAAGTGAAAGACTATTTTATTTTTATTTATTGCCATTGAAAATAATGGCATAAACCGCAATTATGTTTGTACCAACTTAATAGGTTGATTTTTCTGAATGTCAGATTGTTTATCTTGAGCACTGAGAAACAGCTATTTCTGGATCAGATCATCTCAGTCTAACTTTATCATTGAAATGCTATTAATTAGCAGAAGGATACATGTACCTGTGTTCTAGAATTTTTTAAAAAGTTTAAATTATTTAGAGAACCTTTAAAGATACTTCTACCATAGTGTACCTCAATTTTTGTGAAAATGTATTTATCGCAGTGTAATCTGCTCAGCCCTCCAGTGGTAATCAAAATTCACTCACTTAAATTCTGATCTTGGACCCAGACTTTGAAAATGCTTCATGTCAGTAAACATAATTGGGATAACTTATGTTAACACTGCTGTTATGAAATGAAAACATTTGTGGGGGCTGAGTACATTGGATGCATGAGTGAAATTTTAGAGTTAGCATTCTTATTTCAAAAACACTCACTGGGCTGGGTGCAGTGGCTCACGCCTGTAATCCCAGCACTTTGGGAGTCCGAGGTGGGTGGATCACCTGAGGTCAGGAGTTTGAGACCAGCCCGGCCAACATGGTGAAGCCTCGTCTCTACTAAAAATATGAAAATTAGGTAGGCGTAGTGGTGGGCGCCTGTAATCTCAGCTACTCGGGAGGCTGAAGCAGGAGAATTTCTTGAACCGGGAGGCAGAGGTTGCAGTGAGCAAGACTCTGTCTCAAAAACAAAAGCAAAACCCCACAAAGAACCATTCACTGTTACCTATATAATGTAGTGTTTTGACAGTTAGAATCATCAGATGTTTTAACTTTGGTTTAATTCTTGAAAAGAAAAGAAAAGAAAAGAAATTGGTTACTGAGAAAGGGAGACGTTTTTCAAGTTCATCCATCCTTTCTTGGAACAGAGGGCAAAAGAGGATGTGTTGCAGAAGGAGGTGAGAGTGAAGATTCTCAAGGACAACATCAAGTTATTAGCTGCCAAGGTGCCCTCTGGTGGCCAGGAGTTGACGTCTGAGCTGAATGTTGTGCTGGAGAATTACCAACTTCTTTGTAACAGAATTCGAGGAAAGTGTCACACACTAGAGGTACATTATTATTATTATTATTATTTTTCAGTGATGTATTTCTGAGATCCAAACTCTGTAATGTTTTGGCCATTTTCAAATCTTGGAGAAAACTTCACTTTTCTTTCAAATTCTGCATCATAAAGGAAAAATAGTTATTGGGAAATTGTTTGATAAAAATGAAAGAGGGGTTAAAAATAGGAGACCAAAATCTGTCCCTAATTATCAGAAGGTTCTTGGGCAAGTCATTTTATATCTTCGAACTTTACTTTATTTATATGTGCAATCCAGGTTTTCATGTAGCAGATGATCTGTAGGGCCTGTTCCAGTCCAAAAACTGCAGAGCACATTGCAAGCCTCTCTTTTGTTTTGTTTTGTCTTGTCTGGTTGAGTACACAGAGAGGAATTATTTTCTTTTGAGTGGTATTAAAGTTCGAGAGTCATCTGAAGGAAAAACAGTACTTAAATATGTGACTGTTTTACTGGGCCTTAGATAAAATACCTTTTTTTTTTCTTCCTGGCCATTACATGTAAAATGTAGATGATTCTATGAAATTTTTTTAAACTAACAGTAAGGTTTTGCTTGTTTGTTTTTATAGTAGTATGACTTTTGTTATTGCTTGTTGGAAGATTTAAGAAGGCTTTCAATTTACAACAGTTTAATTTACATTCAACTTAATGTAAAACAAATATTTGTATTGTGGTAAATCCTGAAATGATAAAAAAATGGCAACTGCAATATTTAACCTAAATTCATTCATTACTTTGATCATTCATTCATTTGTAAATTCATTCATTGCTTGTTCTAAACCAATTTTGTGCTAAAATAAATATGTATCATTGAGGCAAGTTAGTAAGAAAGCTACTTGTTTTGGGATCCATCTGCTTCTTGGGAGTGATCTTCTTTGAGTCATCTTTGCTTTCCCATTAGAAAAGAGGTCATGCTTGCAACTGAGAAGATTTTTGGTCTGCTTTTTGCTTGTAGAAATAGGGGAATAGAAACTCTTTTCTTTTATTCTAATTCAGTGGTTGGCAAATTATGGCTGAGGATTTTGTTTTGTTTTGTTTGAGACAGGGTCTTGCTCTGTCACCTGGGCTGGAGTGCAGTGGTGTGATCACAGCTCATTGTAACCTCAAGTGACTCTCCTGTCCCCGCTTCCTGAGTAGCTATGACTACAGCCTTGCAATGCCACACCTGGCTAATTATTTTTTAATGTTTTCATAGAGATGGGGGTCTCGCTATGTTGACCAAGCTGGTGTTGAACTCTTGGGCTCAAGCCATCCTCCTGCCTTGGCCTACCAAAGTGCTGGGATTACAGGCATGAGCCACTGCACCTGGACTGGCTGAGGGTTTAAATCTAACTTGTAGGTTGGTTTTTGGATACCTGGTTAACTAAGAGTAGTGTATACATTTCTCAAGGGTTGTACAACACATAACCCCCTCCAAGAAGAATCTGTGATGGGAACCAAATGTGTCCCCCAAATCTAAAATATTTACTGTCTGGCCCTTTGTAGAAAAATGTACTGCCCCCGATCTGGTAAGCATACTTCATATGGAGTGTGGACCAGCAGATGCCTTCACTCATTTAGTACATTCAAGACGACAAGCCCAGGAGGCATCCAGCTGAATTCTTTCTCCTAAACTTACCACTCAAATAAGTTCCTCTTATAAGGGATTATAAATTTATAAATGTATCCACCCACTACACAACCCCTGGGTCCCTGCTCTGGAAACCTTAGAGGGGAATGAGTGATCAAAACCAATATAGTAAGAACAGTATAACTCCAGTTTTGGTAAAATGTGGCTTTCTTCTTATATTGATAAGGCCTCATGAACTTAGAAAAAAGTTGGGAAGGCTACCTTGCAAACCTTTTCAGTTAGCTCTGAGTTGGAATTGGGTGGCCCAGGAGATTTCAATTTTCTATGAGATAATTTTTTAAAAATTTACAATTGTAATTTTTTTCTTTTGTTCAAAAAACAATTTTTTTTTTTTGTTGTTGAGACAGAGTTTCACTCTTGTTGCCCAGGCTGGAGGGCAGTGGTGTGGCCTGGGCTCACTGTAACCTCCACCTCCCAGGTTCAAGCGATTCTCCTGCCTCAGCCTCCTGAGTAGCTGGGATTACAGGTGCCTGCCACCACACCCAGCTAATTTTTGTATTTTTAGTAGAGATGGGGTTTCACCATGTTGGCCAGGCTAGTCTTGAACTCCTGACCTCAGGTGATCCACCTGCCTTGGCCTCCCAAAATGCTGGGATTACAGGTGTGAACTTGGCCTTTAAAAAACAAACTAAATAATGTTTCTTTCTTGTTTTTCCTACTAACTATATAGTTGTATTTTTGACATTTAAATCAGATCATGGAATTTATTTTAAAGAGTGAGGCAGCCTCTTGCCCACTCTTTGCTCCACACCCCTCACCAATTGGTCTAATACGATTTTTTTTGGATTATTTTATTTTTGAAGTTTCAACTCCATCAGTTTTTGAATTCCTAGATATACTCACATCAGATGAAATTATTAGTGATTAAAGAGAATGTGTAGCACTAGATACACGATATATGAAATGGCTTTTTGTCTAATTTAAACTTTTTCATGCTTTAGGAGGTCTGGTCTTGTTGGATTGAACTGCTTCACTATTTGGATCTTGAAACCACCTGGTTAAACACTTTGGAAGAGCGGATGAAGAGCACAGAGGTCCTGCCTGAGAAGACGGACGCTGTCAACGAAGCCCTGGAGGTTGGAACCCACAGTCTCCATGGCATTTCTCTTTGTTGTGATGAGGCCACACGTGTTTACAATGAGGAATGTAATGCTTTATGCAGGCAAATGCATTTGCTTCCTCAGTCATTTTCAATGTCACTTGCATTTTCTTTCATAGCCTGAAGTGTTTATACAATCATGTGTATTTAGATTATTGGTGACCCACTATATCAGCCTCAAGATGTGGTTAGCTGTTTCACAATTCGTAAATTTTAGACATGTTGAAGCACTCTAGTGGTTTTCCAGTTTATTTTACTAGGCCCTGGACAAAGCTCTGCCATATGTTATTAGGACAACTGCTCTCTTGTTTTGTCAACAAGTTATTTTTACTCACTAAACACAGCACTGACGGTTTACAGGGGCTTCCTGTCTCTTACTTTCAGATGTTAGAAGTTAAAAGACAGTGGTTGAGGCATGGGATCTTGTCGTAGGAGCTTATCTTCAAGCCTGGACTTTGAACTCATTGAGGACAGGAAATGTACCCGATACCTTGTTATTCCTCTGTTCCCACCACAGTGTGTAGCACATGTTAATTTAATAACCGTTTCTTAAATGAAATACGATGCAAAGGGGGTGGGTCTGCTTAACAAAAAATAAAAGGGGAAGGGGTAGATATGCTTTTAAAAATGTCTTGGTACCATGTGGGAACTGAGTGGACAAAGGGATTGAAGGTCAGAAATGAGTAAAATGTGGCACTTACATTCCAGGAGATGGATGCTCTGCTAGAGAAAAGATGCCACTTCTCAAATACAGCGGAGTGAGAGACAGAGTGAATGAAAAATATGAAAAGCTTAATTTTTTTTCCTAATGTAAGAGTGAATACGTGTACGTGCTAGAAATATGGAAAATAAAGAAAAGTATAAAGCAAAACTCTAAGATAAACATTTTAAAATGGTTTGTAGATTTCTTCCTAACTACTGTCTTTTATATATGCCTACTAGACGGTAGTATATTGGATCAAAGGCTTTGGGATCTTTTATTTACTTATTTATTTTTTATTTGAGACAGAATCTCCCTATGTTGACCAGGCTAGAGTGCAATTGTGTGATTTCGGCTCACTGCAACCTCCGCCTCCTGAGTTCAAGCAATTCTCGTGCCTCAGCCTCCCGAGTAGCTGGGATCACAGGCGTATGCCACCACCCCAGCTAATTTTGTATTTTTAGTAGAGACGGGGTTTTACCATGTTGGCCAAGCTGTTCTCAAACTCCTGACCTCAAGTGATCCACCCTCCTGGGCCTCCCAAAGTGCTAGGATTAGAGGTGTGAGCCATCGCGCTTGGCCAGGCTTTGGGGTCTTAAAGGCTTTAGAGCCATGTTGGTATCTTACCTCTTCTTTTGACTGCATGTATGTAGGCAAGTTATTTAACCTTTCTGAGCTTCAGTTTTCCCATCTGTAAACTGGGAATAATTAGATTTATGTATATAAAAAGTGTTTATATAAAACAATGCCTCTTATTCTGCGTTTATTGTAGGAAAATGAGTACTTATTTTTAGTAACATAATTAACAAAAATTGAGATAATTTTGTTTGCATAGTACTGTCTCCACCTTTAAACTTTGTTTCAGATTGTAAACATTTCCTCATATAATTAATAATTATTTTTAACTTTTTATTATTCATTTATTTATTGTTTAGAGACGTGGTCTTGCTCTGTTGCCGAGGCTGGATGCCAGTGGTATGATATAGCTCACTGCAACCTTGAACTCCTGGGCTCAAGTGATCCTCCTGTCTCACCATCCCATAATTAATAATAGTTGAAATTATTTTTGTGAAATTATATCATTATATATCACGTGTGCTAATTGCTCATTTTTATGCATTTTTTAATACTGGGATGGATATTTTTGTGAATTAGTAATTTTCTTAATTTTTGGTCCTGTTCCTTAGGTAGATTTTTAGAAAATAGAATTACTTGTTTAACAAATAGACATTTTGAGGATCCTTGATACCTTTTGCCTTAGTAATGCATTATTATTTTTTTCCCCATCTCCATTCCAGTCTCTGGAATCTGTTCTGCGCCACCCGGCAGATAATCGCACTCAGATTCGAGAACTTGGCCAGACTCTGATCGATGGGGGGATCCTGGATGATATAATCAGTGAGAAACTGGAGGCTTTCAACAGCCGATATGAAGATCTAAGTCACCTGGTGAGAGTTGGGATGTGCATGGGTGTTGATTAGGTATTGATGAAGTGGAGCTGGCCCTAAGCTCTATATCACAGAGCTTTAATGTTGGGAAAATCTTTAATGTTGGTTAAAGTTGGTAACCAGTGCTCACAGGGGCATTGAGGGTATTGAAGTACTCACTAGGGAAGAATAGATCTAACACTCTAAGGCAGAATTTGATGATTAAAAAAATTATTTTTGAGATGATTTCTACTTGAAAAATATTTAATTTTCATTAAGGATCATATGATAGCTGTATATAAGAACAACAACTCATACTATCCTAGTAAATATTAAGGCCATGATATTTGACATAAGCTGCAAAGCCATAGTCTCTTAGTTCATATCTAGGTTGTAACATACATATTTGTATCACAAATTAGAGAAAGAGCACTTCTTTTATAGGAAGGTTGGGTATGAATATTAGGTACTTCCAAACACATATTAAATAATAACTGTTGATGTTCAGCCCATGAGTAACATCAAGCTTAAACCAAAAGTGCAGTAAATAGTAGTTCGATATGTATATACACCTATAGAATTTGTTTTAGGCTTTGGAAAAAAAGAGACTCTGATGTTTATGTATTAATAGACATTTTTCTTATGTTTTATATTCTTATTGGCAGACATTGCTGATTCCTAAAAATGCTTTAAAATTATAACAAATAGCAAATTTTTATCTTCTGTTTAATGCATCTTTTGGGAAACCTTTACATTTTTGTATTTCGACATTGTATATAGAAAGAAGTAATAATTAGTAATTCAGCTGCATGGTACATAAGATCCTAGTGGGACATTTTCACTGTTATCATTAGTAATTATTATTTATTTATAAAGAAGGCTAAAGTCTTGGAGGAAAGCTTTTCTAGTCTTTTCTTAATGGCCAGAATATATATATATTCTGCTATTTATATTTGTGTTGGGCAACTAATGATTCAATTTCTCCTCTGTGCAGGCAGAGAGCAAGCAGATTTCTTTGGAAAAGCAACTCCAGGTCCTGCGGGAAACTGACCAGATGCTTCAAGTCTTGCAAGAGAGCTTAGGGGAGCTGGACAAACAGCTCACCACGTACCTGACTGACAGGATAGATGCTTTCCAAGTTCCACAGGAAGCTCAGGTATTGCCATGTATTTGAGGGCTTCTGAGCTGTAAAGAGAGCTTATGTAGTTGCCTCCTCAACCATAAGAGAACCCCTCCTGCCATCCAAAACCGAGAGTCAATGGGAAAGATTGACTTACTTACAAGGCAGCATTTGGGTTTTGGAGTTCTCTTGCTTTCTGTGTGAGACTCTGGCAAAAGTCCTATATATTTAATTAAATTAAATTTATTTATTTATTTATTTGAGACAGAGTCTCACTATGTCACCCAGGCTGGAGTGCAGTGGCACGATCTTGGCTCCCTGCAACCTCTGCCTCCTGGGTTCAAGTGATTCTCCTGCCTCAACCTCCCAAATAACTGGGACTACAAGTGTGCGCCACCAGGCCTGGCTAATTTTTTGTATTTTTAGTAGAGATGGGGTTTCGCCATATTGGCCAGGCTGGTCTTGAACTCCTAACCTCAAGTGATCTGCCTGCCTTGGCCTCCCAATAATTTTTGTATTTTTAGTAGAGACAGGGTTTTGCCATATTGGCCGGGCTAGTCTCAAACTCCTGACCTCAGGTGATCCGCCTTCCTCGGCCTCCCAAAATACTGGGATTATAGGTGTGAGCCACTGTGCCTGGCTGAAAAGTCCTGTATATTTTAAATTGTAGTTTTCTTAGCTGTGAAGTTGGGACAATTCCTTCCTTATAAATAAGTTGTGAACATTAGAAACGACAAATGCAAAGACCTTAGCATGGGCGTCACGTACAATAGTCATACCATGCAGTGGGCCATATTATTATTATGCAAAAACTTATTATTATTATTATTATTTAGACGGATTCTCACTCTGTCACCCAGGCTGGAGTGCAGTGGCATGATCTCAGCTCACTGCAAACTCTGCCCCACAGGTTCAAGTGATTCTCCTGCCTCAGCCTCCCGAGGAGCTGGGATTACAGGCGCCTGCCACTGCACTTGGCTAATTTTTGTATTTTTAGTAGAGATGGGGTTTCACCATCTTGGCCAGGCTGATCTTGAACTCCTGACCTCGTGATCCACCCACCTTGGCCTCCCAAAGTGCTGGGATTACAGGCGTGAGCCACCGCTCCCGGACTACAAAAACTTATTAAAGCTTCTGTGGAGGTCAACATTATGTAAAATACAATATCATGTATAACACAACGATATAGAACTTTTGTATTGTCTCTTTTTATACTTAAGAAAACCAAAGGACATCCTCTCCCCTTTCCAATCTCTTTGTAGAAAATCCAAGCAGAGATCTCAGCCCATGAGCTAACCCTAGAGGAGTTGAGAAGAAATATGCGTTCTCAGCCCCTGACCTCCCCAGAGAGTAGGACTGCCAGAGGAGGAAGTCAGATGGATGTGCTACAGGTAAAGAGGGCCAGGAGCTTCCTTTTACTTTTCAACATGTTGGGAATTTTTTTTTTTTTTAAAGAGAAAGAATTGATTACTTGGGCACCGTTGATATTCTTTATGATGTAAACCGTGGGATGGGAGTGATGTATTGAAGGTTGCATCCCAGGACAGCAGAAACAAATTGTTGCATGGATGGAAAAATATTAAATACGATTTTGATAATTGAGTTGAGAAACGGGAGAGTGAGCCAGATTAAGAAGTTAGCTTTATATAGACTTTTTCTTTAATGCAGAGCCTCTGTCAGTATTGTGTGACTGATACTGTGGGCAGGCTGAGCATGAATTGGGTGCATCATTTAGTTCTTTCATGGTCGATATGACACTGACTTCACTCTGAATTTTTGATGAAGGGCATTTTGAGTTCTAGATTCCTGAACAGTCTTTTTGAACATGAAGTTTTAATTCCAGTGAGGCCAGCTTTATCTAAATTTCTTATCCAAATCCATTACTTCTGAGATTGAGACACTGAGTGTTGTAATTTTTGACACTGGGCTGTGCAGTTCACTTAGGCAATAGGGTATCCTCACCAAGTTTCATTAGGATTTTTTTTTTTTGGTCATATTACTGAATTTTTTTTTTTTGGTACTTTATGGTACAAATTTTTAGTAGTATGTATTATGCTCATGATGAGAGAGATAATCATCCTGATGGGAATTGCATATTTTCATTTCTGCAAACAGAGGAAACTCCGAGAGGTGTCCACAAAGTTCCAGCTTTTCCAGAAGCCTGCTAACTTCGAACAGCGCATGCTGGACTGCAAGCGTGTGCTGGATGGTGTGAAAGCAGAACTTCATGTTCTGGATGTGAAGGACGTAGACCCTGATGTCATACAGACCCACCTGGACAAGTGTATGGTGAGGTTGTTGGGTGATTGGCACATGCAGTGGCTTTTTCAGCAGCTGTTATGGCTTGGTGGTCTAGCAAGTACATGCTTAGTGTGTCCAATGATCACTAGTCTAGAGTGTGCTAAACATAAGGACTGATGATGGAAAACATGTTAAAAAATAAGAAGTGTGGTCTTTCCCTCCAAAGACATTAGAAGAGGTAAGAGAGATAGAGGAGGAAACTACAATAGATATGTATATAACATGATGACAAACAAAAACCAAAGCAAAAGAAACATGTCTTAATCACCATATGAAGTTAGGAAGGCTTCAGCAGAATGTGACTAATAAGCAAAGTTTTCAAGGATAAATTTGAGTTAGCTAGAAGAACCATACTTACAATGGATATCATAAAAATTCCATTTTCTAGGGAAATAGAAGTTCAAATAGAAATTTAAATCTTAAGATAGGAAAGAAGAAATGATATATAAGGCCTTATTACTTTTTTAGTCTTGAACTTTATAATTCAATTGAATAGAAATTTAAAAATAAAGTAGCTAAGGGGACACAATCTTAGAATTAGTGTTCTGCTTGAGAATCACAAAACTTAAGATGAGACTCTTTAGGATAGGAGAGATATAGGGTCAGTTCTTTGTGCTTTTCAAAACAAAGGATACCTTTTAATATATATGTGCATGTATATAAGTATTTATTTGATTATTGTGACATAATGGTAATCGGAGAAAGTGCTGTCCTTGACTTCATGGAACATAGTTCAGGGGTCTGTTACATGACAGCATCCTATGAGATGTTGAGATGATGATGTATGATGTCAAGAGAAGCTGTTTAGAATAAAGCTTTTTGGTTTCAGGTAACTAGGATGACGACAGCTCTGAATTTGACCTACAGAGCTCCTATTTCTTTTTTTATATTTAAATTTATTTTAGTTTTTAATTTTTGAAGACTTTAGGTTCAGGAAGTACATGTGCACATTTGATACATGGATATATTGTATGATGCTGAGGTTTGGGCTTCGACTGAACCCATCACCCAAATAATAAATGTAGTACCCAATGGGTAGTTTTTCAGCTCTTGCCCCTTTCCTCCTTCCCATCTTTTGGACTCCCAGTGTCTTTGCTTTTCATCTTTATGTGCATGTGTACCCATCATTTAACTCCCACTTATAAGTGAGGACATGTAGTATTTGGTTTTCTGTTCCTGCGTTAATTTACTTAGGATAATGGCCTTGAGCTGCATCCATGCTGCTGCAAAGGACGTGATTTCATTTTTTCTGGCTGTGTAGTATTCCGTGGTGTATTTGTACCACATTTTCTTTATCCATTCCCCCATTGATGGGCACCTAGGTTGATGACATGTCTTTGCTATTGTAAGTAGTGGTGTGATAAACATGGGAGTGCATATGTCTTTGTGGTAGAACAATTATTCTCCTTTACATATATACCCAGTAATAGCATTTCTGGGTTGAATAATAATTCTATGTTTAGTTCTTTGAGATATTTCCAAACTGCTTTCCCCAGGGGCTGAACTGATTTACAATCCTACCAACAGTGTATGGTGTTCCCTTTTCTCTCCTGCCTTGCCAGCATCTGTTGTTTTTGACTCTTTAATGATAGTCATTCTGACTGGTATGAGACAGTGTCTTATTGTGGTTTTGATTTGAATCAGAAATCTGTTTACTTATAATTATATACATCTTGATATATCGAGTTTTGTATTTTTTATTATACAAATAATATATGCTCATTATGGTAGACTTAGTACTTCCGAGAAATAGGAATAAATGTTAACAATTCCAAATCCAACAGACAGCAGTAGCCGGTGTTGGCTTTTTTTAGTCATAACATGCAAGATTTTTTTAAACGTAATTTTAATTGTGATAAACATTCTGTTTTTAGTCCTGATGTTTTCCCATTTTATGTAGCAAAAATATTTATATTATCAAGTACTTTCATAAACATTTAAAACATTTGTCTGAGATTTTAAAAGAATGAGCATCAACTCTATTAGTTTATTTTCTTGTCAGATTTGAAGAAGTTATTACAAGCTTGATTTCATTTGACTCGACCTTCAGACCAAATCTGAGAAAGATGATGGCCTCTGATCGCCATAGTTATGTCTTGGCTGTCAGTCTGCGTAAGCTGTGTTCTGACATGATGCCAGTTGGCAAGTTGTCACCACAGTGTGTAATTTGTCTTTTTCTTTGTTTGTTTTAAAGAAACTGTATAAAACTTTGAGTGAAGTCAAACTTGAAGTGGAAACTGTAATTAAAACAGGAAGACATATTGTCCAGAAACAGCAAACGGACAACCCAAAAGGGATGGATGAGCAGCTGACTTCCCTGAAGGTCCTTTACAATGACCTGGGTGCACAGGTAAGGAGAGCAGTCCCACAGCTCATTCCTCTCTCTCTCTCTCTCTCTCACTCACTGTCTCTCTCTCTCTTTCTCTCTCATGTATTTTTAAATTTCACTTTTTGGAAAATGCTTGTTTGAAAATTAGGAGATTCATATGTGTTTTCAATTTATTGTAATAATTTTTGTTATATTTCTTTAAATGTACGTGCTAATATTACAGTGATTCATAGTTACACAGAAATTTATTTTTGGCTAGGCACAGTGGCTCACGCCTGTAATCCCAGCTCTTTGGGAGGCCAAGGTGGGTAATGGCTTGAGCCCAGGGGTTTGAGACTAGCCTGGGCAACATGATGAAACCTTGTCTCTACAAAAAAATACAAACGAAAACCTCCAAAAACAAAACAAATTTCAAAAAAAAAAAAAAAAAAAAAAAGGCATGGGGGGGCATACCTGTAGTCCTCAGTACCTGGGAGGCTGAGGTGGGATGGTTGCTTGAACCTGGCAGGCAGAGGTTGCAGTGAGCTGAGATCACGCCACTACACTCCAGCCTAGGCAGCAGAGTGAGACACTCTTTCAAAAAATTTTATTTTTAATATTTAATTCAAGCTAATAGTTATACTTTCAATGGCTACTGATATTCCATTAAGTTATTCTAAGGAAACTACAAGTAATATATGTTCATTGTGGTAGACTTAGTACTTCAACAGAATACAAGGGAAACAATAAATGTTAATAATTCCAAATTTCAATGGATAGCAGTAGCCAGTGTTGGCTTTTTTCTAGTCATAACATGTAAGGTTTTTCTAAGTGTAATTTTAATTGTGATAAACATTCTGTTTTTAGTCCTAATGTTTCCCCATTTCATGTAGGAAAAATGGGAAATAATAGTCCCTGTAAAAACGCAAGTTATTGTCCTTAGATTCCTAAATAGTCTACTGAGAAATGTTAAAATATCAGGGCTCTAGTAAATAACCAGTGGCAAGAAGTTCACATTAATCTACGAGGATTTGAAATCCTGCCAAGAAATATCTCTAATTTGGGCATTTTAGTAAATCCATGCAGGAGTTGTTGAGCATTTATTGTGAGTGACTGAATCTTTGTCCTGAAACCAGGAGAGTAAAGAATGTGTGGATGTGTGAAACCTTAATAGGTAATATTGGAAAACCATGTTTGTTGGATCCTTCTTCAGTTAGGAAATATTAACTACTTCCAGTTGAGGTAATATTGAAGTTTCTACATAAGCCCAGAGAAAAACAGCTGAAATTTTGTTTTCAGTTGAAATCAGAATGACCGGTTTATGCTTTTTCTATGTGATTTTGATCTTACTTCCTCAAGTTTAAATTGTTGATGTGGTACATTTTGATGCATTACATGTCTGAAACGCATACCTTAGAGCTTCTTTTTGGAATTATACAGCTGGTTATTCATTAAATATTATTATATTTATTCACTGGACATTTTATGAATAGAATAGTATTGCTGGTTTTTGCACTATTTCTCCAATTGTGACTATAATTTTAGTATTAATTGATTTAATCATTTAAAGTTTCACTCGGCCGGGCGCGGTGGCTCAAGCCTGTAATCCCAGCACTTTGGGAGGCCGAGGCGGGCGGATCACAAGGTCAGGAGATCGAGACCATCCTGGCTAACACCGTGAAACCCCGTCTCTACTAAAAAAATACAAAAAAAAAAAACTAGCCGGGCGTGGTGGTGGGCGCCTGTAGTCCCAGCTACTTGGGAGGCCGAGGCAGGAGAATGGCGTGAACCCGGAGGGCAGAGCTTGCAGTGAGCCGAGATCACGCCACTGCACTCCAGCCTGGGCGACAGAGCAAGACTCCGTCTCAAAAAAAAAAAAACAACAAAAAAACAAAAAAACAAATAAAGTTTCACTCAATTGAGACTTTACTCTGTGTCGGGAATTATACAGTGCGGAGAGTGTGAGGAAAAAGAGACAGTGAGGAAAAAGGAGACAGTGAGGAAAAAGATAAATTATCTCTTTGTCTAATGGAACTTAGGTTAGTGAAACAGGAAAATATTGAGTAGTTACATGAAATGATGTTACATTATCAGTCTGAAGAGTTATGAAGAATGTACATGGTTCTTTAACAGTATAGGTAAAGAGGGATTTCACCCAGTCTTGGGTTAGGAATGCTTTCCTGAGGAGGTGATGCGTAAGCTGAGATTCAAAGTCTGGGTAGGAGTAACCTGGGTGAAACTAGAGGAGATTTCAAGACTGATAAAACAGTATATATAAAGGCTCTAAGGCAGGAAGCAGTGTGGCACATTTATGTGGCTAGAGCAGAGAGAGCCAGTGTGGGGAACATGGTGCTAGGGAGATGGGATGAGACGAATTCTTGCCAATGTCATAGAGTTTGTGTTATAGATTTAAATCTGTGTCTTAAGCAGTTATTGCACAGTTTTTAGTAGGAAAATCACATACGCAGATATGTCTTTTAAAGGATTACTCACTGCAGTTTGGAAGAGGAATTGGGGAGAGGCTGGAGTGGATGTGAGGAGACCAGTTAGGAAATCATTGTTGTACTCTTGGTGAAAGATGGTCGTACCTTCAACCAGGATGGACAGTGGAGATGGAGTGAGGGAACTGATTTCAGACATATGTAGGAAGTGAAATCAACAGGACTTGGTGCAGAAGAGAAGAAGGATGACTCCTTGGTTTCTGGCTTGATGATGTGGATAGTGTGGTCATTGAGATGGGTGCTGTAAGAAAAGATAGAGGGCCAGGAACAGTGGCTCACATCTGTAATCCCAGCACTTTGGGAGGCTGAGGGGGCAGATCACCTGAGGTCAGGAGTTCGAGACCAGCCTGGCCAGCATGGTGGAACCCTGTCTCTACTGAAAATACAGAAATAAATAAATAAATAAATAAATAAAATTAAATTAAAAAAAATAACTGGGTGTGGTGGCGTGTGCCTGTAATCCCAGATACTCGGGAGGCTGAGGCAAAAGAATTGCTTGAACCTAGGAGGAAGAATCGCTTGAACCTAGGAGGTAGACGTTGCAGTGAGTCGAGATCACACCACTGCACTCCAGCCTGGGCAACAAGAGTGAAAATTCCATCAAAAAAAAAAAAAAAAAAAAAAAAAAAAAAAAAAGGAGGCATGCAGAAATCACAGGTATGTATTGGACATGTTGACTTTTTTTTTTTTTTTTTTTTTTTTGGTATGTAGTCTTGCTCTATTGCCCGGGCTGGAGTGCAGTGGTGCAATCTCGGCTCACTGCAACCTCTACCTCCCAGGTTCAAGCAATTCTCCTGCCTCAGCCTCTGGAGTAGCTGGGACTACAGGTGTATGCCCCCATGCCTGGCTAAATTTCGTATTTAGTAGGGATGGGGTTTCACCGTGTTGCCCAGGCTGGTCGCGAACTCCTTAGCTAAGGCAGTCCGCCCGCCCAGCCTCCCAAAGTGCTGGGATTATAGGCATGAGCCACCGCACCTGGCTGGACATGTTGACATTTTAAGTACCTTTGAGAATGTTAATTGGAAATGTCGGGTACTCACATGATTATTCAGGTCTGGAGAATATATCTGGACTGAAGAGGTGGATTTTATGAGTCATCTGCATAGAGTGGTAATTAAAGTAATCAGGGATGATAGATTGTCTAGGAACAGGATATAGTGAAAGAAGAGGGCCCTTGACCAGGTCTTAGGAATTGTATCACTTAGTAAGAAATCTGAGGAAGATGAGCTTGCAAAAGAAACTAACATAAGCAGCAAGACATGGTAGGCACACAGGCGAGTGCTAGGTCTGGGAAGCCAGGGGATCAGTTGCCACTGGGGTCAGTATTGAACTTAGCAAGGGCAATGTCTGAGGAGTGATGGAGGTAGAAGCCAGAATGGCATGGCTCAATCCAAAGATTGTACCACCCCGGCCTTGGCCTTAACCTGTTTTTTTTTTGTTTTTTTGTTTTTTTTTGTTTTTTTTGAGATGGAAAAAACATCTCAAAGATGTTGCCAGACTGTTGCCAGACTGGAGTGCAGTGGCACAATCTCGGCTCACTGCAACCTCTGACTCCCTGGTTCAAGCAGTTCTACTGCCTCAGCCTTCTGAGTACCTGCGATTATAGGCATGCGCCCCCACATTGGGATAATTTTTGTATTTTTAGTAGAGACAGGGGTTCACCATGTTGGTCAGGCTGGTCTCGAACTCCTGACATTGTGATCTGCTTGCCTTGGCCTTCCAAAGTGCTGGAATTACAGGCATGATCTACTGCGCCTTGCCGGTCTTAACCTTGTTAAGTTTCGTTTTCGTTATCCATAAAGTAGAAAGAGGTTTTGTGAATTTTTATTGCATACACGTGTAAGATTCCTTAGCACAACACAGAAGCTGCATTAAGAGCTTGGTAAATGTTAGTTAAGTTCATTTGCTTTCTGTCAACAACAGTAAGAGCGAAATATTAATAAGGTTTAGGATGCATAGTAATGTACTGTATTTTAAGTTTATTTGGTTAATTATAAAACATATAATTGTGAAAATGGTGCCATTTTCCCCTCAGATTGCTGTAATACAGTATTTTTTAAACAAACTTCTTTGTGGAGAGGATTCTAAGATATCATCTGTTCAAAATTATAATAGATACTATTTAGTGATTTTTAACTTTGTTTCAGCCCTTTTTATATGTGTTTTTCTCACTTAATACTCGTAACAGTCTTTCTTTTCTTTTCTTTTCTTTTTTGAGATGGGGTCTTGCTCTGTTGCCCAGGCTGGAGTGCAGTGGCAGGATCATGCCTCACTGCAGCCCCAGCCTCCAGGGCTCAAGCGATTCTCCCATCCCAGCCTCCTGAGTAGCTGGAACCACAGGCACATGCACCACCACACTAGATAATTTTTTGTATGTTTTGTAGAGACAAGGTCTTGTCATGTTTTCCAGGCTGGTCTCAAACTCTTGGACTCAAGAGATTTGCCTGCCTCGGCCTCCCGAAGTGCTGGGATTATAAGCATGAGCCACTGCGCCCATCCTCATACCAATATTTTGAGGGCTACATCTCTACAAATGTCACTTAGGAAATTAATGATAGAGCTAAGATGAAAACCCAGGATTGCCTGGCCCTTAACTACTACAGTATATTGCCTCCTTGCAGAAATGCAAGCTTAGAGGATTCTAAGGTGCTACAGACAAAGGTTATGTATGTCTTGGGAGTTATATATGAATCAGTTTGCATCTTTAGTTAATATCCTGATTCATTCCCATTTATGTTCATTCTCATCTCATGCTCAGTCTCGCCCTGTCTCTCTCTCCGTCTCAGGTGACAGAAGGAAAACAGGATCTGGAAAGAGCATCACAGTTGGCCCGGAAAATGAAGAAAGAGGCTGCTTCTCTCTCTGAGTGGCTTTCTGCCACTGAAGCTGAATTGGTGCAGAAGTCCACTTCAGAAGGTCTGCTTGGTGACTTGGATACAGAAATTTCCTGGGCTAAAGTAAGTTGCAGTTCAGGTGAAACACCAGCATGATGCCGGTGTAACGTGACATTTGTTCTGGGCGATCTGGGTGGATACCATGACCCTCCATTTCATATTAAGTCTAGCATTTTCTTTTTTTGCATTGTTTATCCACTTCTCTGTCCTAAGAAAACATATTTTTAAAACAATGATTATATTTTATTTTGTTTATAATTTCTACTTTTAGATTAAGGGGTACCTGGATAGGTCTGTTACATGGATATATTGTGTGATGCTGAGGTTTGGGGTATGAATGATCCCATTACCCAGGTAGTGAGCATGGTACCCACTAGGTAGTTTTTCAGCTGATGCCTCCCTCTGTTTCTCTCCCCTCTGCTGGTCCCCATTGTCTGTCGTTCCCATCTTTATGGCCATGCATACCCAATGTTTAGCTCCCACTTGTAAGTGAGAACATGTGGCATTTGATTTTCCATTCCTGCATTAATTTACTTAGGATAATGGCCTCCAGCTGCATCCATGTTGCTGCAGAGGAAATTTCATTCTTTTTTATGGCTGTGTAGTATTCCATGGTGTATATGTACCACATTTTCTTTATTCAGTCCACCACTGATGGGCACCTAGTTTGATGACATGTCTTTGCTGTTGTGAATAGTGCTGATGAACATATGAGTGCATGTATCTTTTTTGTAGAACAATTTATTCTCCTTTGCATATATACCCAGTAATCAGATTTCTGGGTCAGTAATCAGAACTCTGTTTGAAGTTCTTGGAGAAATTTCTAAACTGCTTTCCACAGAGGTTGAACTAATATATATTCCCGCCAGCATATAAAAGTGTTCCTTTTTCTCTGCAACCTTGCCAACATCTGTTATTTTTTGACTTTTTAATAATAGCCATTCTGAATGGTGTGAGATGGTATCTCATTATGGTTTCAATTTGCATTTCTCTAATGTTAGTGATGTTGCACATTTTTTTCATGTGTTGTGGGCTGCTAGTATGTCTTTAGTGAAGTGTCTATTCATTTTCTTTGACCATTTTTTAATGGGATTATTTGTAAAACAGCTCATTTAATAAGATATTTTTATCTTGATTCCAAAGGCATTACATTCATGGATCATCGAGGCCTTTATAGGTATTATGTTAATGTAGTACTTAAAAACCTAATTCACCACCTTCAAAATCAATGACACATATTTACAGAGTATTTACAAAGAATTGTGCTGACTTTAATTCTTCTTCAATAACATTTCAAAACCAATAACTAACCTTTCTATTGCAAACTTACAGATGTAAAGAACATAGGAATAGAATTTTAAAAAATCAATACATGAGTTTTCTTTAGCTGTATACTTTGAAATCACAGAGATTAGAAAGTTGATTTGCTGGTTCTGGCTTCTGCAGTAGGCAAATTATTTGTAGTAGACAAAGAATTGAATGGAACATGAGTGGCTCTTTTAACAAGACATTCTGTTTTCCTAACTCTTTCCTGAGAAAGAAGCAAGTATACTAGTGGGAAGTGGTGATTATAAAGATCAATACTGTGATCATTTATAATCAATTAATACTGATGTTGATATAAAACCACAAGTATCAGTTTCACATCCTCTACAGCTCTACACATGTTTGCTGTGGGCCTTGAGGAGAACGCGCTGAGAGGCTGTGGGATGACACAACTCCTACTTACTTTGAATGCTCTATGGAGATGACAGCTGGCAGAAAGTTAAGATAGTAGACACTGGAAAGACTATTCTCAGTTTAGAAAAAAGCTCATGAACAGCGTGATCATGCCATGAGCTGTGTGAGTGTGACGGAAGTGAAGAAAGGAATGTATGATGGAAATGAACATTGCAAGTCATTGTTGTGTTGTGTATGAATGCAAAACAAAGACACCAAACTTTATTTTTGTTAAATTCAAGTTTTTCAAGGAAATATTATCTTCCTCGTGCAGTACACTTTGAAAATCATTACGTTTTTATTAATAACATAAGTAATAGAAGTTATTTGAATGAAATTTGCCTAGTGTAATGCAAAGAAAAGGAGCAAAAATCACCTATAATTAAACAATATTGTTATTTTTTTCATTTTTTGGGGCACATATCGATGTGCACATGCAAAAGCATGTATTTAAAAATAAATTTTGTTGTAACTAGCATTTATTGACCTTCTTTTAAAAACTTACATCTTTAACATTTTTCTTTACCTATACTTGTTTTTGTATAGCATATTAGAGATATGTGTAGTATTTCATTCTTAATGTTTTTATTCTCTCATTTCTCTATTTATGTCCATTTAAATTATTACCATTTTCTCTGTTATAGATACTGCTGTGATGAATATACTAAACCATAGCATGCATTCATAATTATTTCCTGAGGATAAATTCTTAACCCTAAAATTCTTGGTCAAGGGACAGGAATATATCCATTTTTAAGTCTGATACAAATTATGCAATTTTCCTTCAGAAATCGTGCACCCACCACATGAGAATGAGAATTTCTACTTGACATCATGTTTTGGTTATTTAATTAGAACATTTTTTCACTAGTTTATAAGTCTTCTATAGCTCCTTTAAAAATACTGCTTTTTCCTCTAATTCTGACCATTTTTTTCAATCACCAAATTGGTCTTTTAATTTGGAACTTTTTATCTGTTCTGATTATCAATGCTTAGTGAGTTGTGTTTGATTGCAAAAAAAAAAATTGTTTTATTACTATAGCTTCCTTTTTTGTTTTTTTAAGCTTTTTTCTTTGGAAAAAAAGTAAGCCCTTCTGAATATTTTTTTAATCAACAAAATCCATCTTTTTCTTCATTATTTCTGCCTTTAGTGCTTAGAAAGACTGCCTCTACTCCAGGTACATTTAATTATTTACTTATTTTTTTCCACTAGCTCTTTTTTTTTTTTTTTTTAATTGTTATACTTTAAGTTCTGGGATACATGTGCGGAACATGCAGGTTTGTTACATAGGTATACATGTGCCATGGTCGTTTGCTGCACTCATCAACCCGTCATCTACATTAGGTATTTCTCCTAATGCTATCCCTCCCCTAACCCCCCACCCCCTGACAGGCCCCAGTGTGTGACGTTCACCTCCCTGTGTCCATGTGTTGTCATTGTTCAACTCCCACTTATGAGTGAGAACATGTGGTGTTTGGTTTTCTGTTCCTGTGTTAGTTTGCTGAGAATGATGGTTTCCAACTTCATCCAGGTTCCTGCAAAGGTCATGAACTCACATTTTTAATGGCTACATAATGGCTACATAGTATCCTGTGGTATATATGTGCCACATTTTCTTTATCCAGTCTAACATTGATGGGCATTTGTGTTGGTTCCAAGTCTTTGCTATTGTGAGTAGTGCTGCAATAAACATACGTGTGCATGTCCTTAGAGTAGTATGATTTATAATCCTTCGGGTATATACCCAGTAATGGGATTTCTGGGTCAAGTGATATTTCTGGTTCTAGATCCTTGAGGGATCACCACACTGTCTCCCACAATGGTTGAACTAATTTACACTTCCACCAACAGTGTAAAAGCATTCCTATTTCTCCATATCCTCTCCAGCATCTGTTGTTTCCTGACTTTTTAATGATCACCATTCTACCTGGCATGAGATGGTATCTCATTGTGGTTTTGATTTGCACTTCTCTGATGAGCAGTGATGATGAGCTTTTTTTCATATGTTTGTTGGCCACATAAATGTCTTCTTTTGAGAAGTGCCTGTTCATATCCTTCACCTACTTTTTGATGGAGTTGTTTGTTTTTTTCTTGTAAATTTGTTGAAGTTTCTCGTACATTCTGGATATTAGCCGTTTGTCAGATGGGTAGATTGCGAAAACATTCTCCCATTCTCTAGGTTGCCTGTTCACTATGATGGTACTTTCTTTTGCTCTGCAAAAGCTCTTTAGTTTATAGATCTTATTTGTCAATTTTGGCTTTTGTTGCCTTTGCTTTTGGTGTTTTAATCATGAAGTCTTTGCCCATGCCAGTGTCCTGAATGGTGTTGCCCTTTAAGTCTTTAATCCTTCTTGAGTTAATTTTTGTATAAGGTGTAAGGAAGGGGTCCAGTTTCAGTTTTCTCCTTATGGTCAGCCTGTTTTCCCAACGTCCTTTATTAAATAGGGAATCCTTTCCCCATTGCTTGTTTTTGTCAGGTTTGTCAAAGATCAGTGAGTTATAGATGTGTGGTGTTATTTCTGAGGCTTCTGTTCTGTTCCATTGGTCTATATATCTGTTTTGTTACCAGTACCATGCTGTTTTGGTTACTGTAGCCTGATAGTGTAGTTTGAAGTCAGGTAGCGTGATGCCTCCAGCTTTGTTCTTTTTGCTTAGAATTGTCTTGGTTATATGGGATCTTTTTAGTTCCATATGAAATTTAAAGTAGTTGGTTTCTAATTCTGTGAAGAAATTCGATGGTAGCTTGATGAGAATAGCGTTGAATCTAAAAATTACTTTGGGCAGTATGGCCATTTTCACGATATTGATTCTTCCTATCCATTAGCATGGAATGTTTTTCCATTTGTTTGTGTCCTCTCTTATTTCTTTGAGCAGTGGTTTGTAGTTCTCCTTGAAGAGGTCCTTCACATCCCTTGTAAGTTGGATTCCTAGCTATATAATTCTCTTTGTATCAATTGTGAATGGGAGTTCACTCATGATTTGGCTTCCTGTTTATCTATTATTGGTGTATAGGAATGCTTGTGATTTTTGCACATTGATTTTGTATCCTGAGACTTTGCTGAAATTGGTTATCAACTTAAGGAGTTTTTGGGCTGAGACAATGGGGTTTTCTAAATATACAATCATGTCATCTGCAAACCAAGACAATTTGACTTTTTCTCTTCCTGTTTGAACACCCTTTATTTCTTTCCCTTGCCTGATTGCCCTGGCCAGAACTTCCAATACTGTGTAAATAGGAGTGGTGAGAGAGGGCATCTTTGTCTTGTGCCGGTTTTCAAAAGGAATGCTTTCAGCTTTTGCCCATTCAATATGATATTGGCTGTGGGTTTGTCATAAATAGCTC